CACACACACACACACACACACACTCTCTCACAGAGGCATGAGGGTGGGAGAATGATTTGTTCAATATTACACAATGAGTCAGTGGCATAGCCAGAAATACAACTTTCCAAACTCCCAATTCTTAATAATAGAAATATTAATATAGTCTCTATAATTTTCTGTTTATTTTTGTTTTCACAGCTCACATTTAATTTTCACAACAACTCTGGGGAAATCTGGGTAAAACGGTCTCAGGAGAGAGCAGATCTGAATTCCAGACCAGCTCTGCCACTTGCTTGCAGTGTGATCCTGGCTGGTTCCCTCTCCTCTCTGGATCTCAGTGCTGTCAGCTGTGAAATGGGGGAATTGGAGGAGAATACTTCCAAAATCCCTCCCACCTCTAATGTGCTGTGATTCTGTACTGCGATGCTCCAGCCCTGGGTTTCTCAATCTTGGTGTCAATGACATTTGGGGCCAGATAATTCCTTGTCATGAGGCGTGTTCTGTGCACTGTATGATGTTCAGCAGCATCCCTGGCCTCTACCTAGTGAATACTAGTAGCACCCCATTCCCCAGTTGTAACAAGAAAAAACGTCTACAGACATTGCCAAATATCTGGGAGGGGGAACAAAGTAACCCCTGTAGTCACCATTCAAGGACTTCGATAAGGTCAAAATCATGAGTGGTTCACTGGAAAAAAGGTCTTCCTCTCCCTTCCTTTTCCCCAACCCTTTCACACCTTTCTGCACACTTTTCAAAGACAACCTCTCAGTCCTTTGCTATCTCTCATTTCTTAAATGCCCTAAGTGGTCCAGCGTGTGTTTGGTGTGATAATGAACCAATTGATTTCATACTTTCTTCTAAGGAAAGTTCACAGGTTTATGTCCCCTAAGCAACCAGCCAGGCTCTCCAGAAATCCCTAGCAGAGCCCAGGCTGGCCTGGAAGCCTGTATCTGCAGCCTGCAGGAGGCTCGGTGAGCATGAATTTGTCAGCACTCTTAAATCACTGGGCTCCGAGGAAGGCTTCTCCCAGCAGAAAGATCCTTCCTTAGGAATCAATAGCTCAGGGCCCTCCATCACATTCAGAATTATCCTGGGACCTGTAAAATTTCTTTTTCCCAAGCATGGCAGAACCCCAAAGTGAAAACCCTGAGGTGGGGGAGGGAAAGAGGCAAGGAGGGAGCCCTGCGAAGAAGGCCTTGCCCATCAGCCCAGATGTTGCTGTGAGCAGAGGCTGATGTGCAAACCTGGGCACTCAGGCTCACTCTCTGGGAAAAAGACGACTCCGGGGGTTCCCAGTGATTCAGCAATAATATTGCCTTCCAGCTGAATACCTCTTTACCTCTAACCAAGGGCAGAGGAATACTAAAGACTGTCTCCCTCCAGCTTCGCTCCCCTACCCTCATCACACAGTTGTCAGCCTCATCATTTAGCAGAGAAGGAAACTG